AGCAACTCATGCAGAAGTTTCTCCCCTGCATCTAATCACCAGCCAAATCCAGGATGATGTGGAAAAAACCCTTCATTCAGTGGTGTCCAGCCCCACAGACACCACCAAACACTTCAGGCAGATTGAAATACCTGCCCTGTGCCCGTACGTTTCTCCCAAATCCACTGCCTTTACAACATCCCTGTAAATCCCCCAGCGCTGTCATCTCACCCTGTAGCCACCTCACACTGTAACACCCTCAGGCTGCAGTCACATGGATTCTGCAAAGAGTCCACACAGCCAGAAGCTGTACTCTGAGCTGGCAAAGCTGCCAACGACTAAAGCCAAAATTTGCCCACTCTTTAAGCCCTTAAAAAAGTCAAGTTGTCCTGTAATGCAGCACACACAAGTTAGTCAACCCCAGAATACTGTAAATAAGTTCCAGAAAACTTTGTTATTCATACATTTTGGCATGGGAAGAGGAGGGAGGGTATGCATACCAAGCCATGTGGAAAGGAGATTGCCTGATGCAACTGCACACAGTGAGGCCCAAAATATCCACCACTGGTGACACACCAGAATGAAAATCAGTAAGATTTCAAACAAGTCTAAACAGAGCTCTGCAACAAGGAATTTAGATATGCATCAGTTTCTTGGAAATAAGTGACTAACATTGTATTTTTATTAACCTATACAAAACAATCATGTGTAACAACAAAGAATTCATTGTTGACAACTACACAAACCTGAAATATAAATATGAACTTCATATTAATTAGAAGTTTTAAAATACTTTTCTTATTTGACCTAGTTAATTACAGTTGTTTTGTTTGGGGTTTTTTTTAAAGTGGTCTCTGAAGAGTATCTGAAGGTCCTAGGTGGCATTTTCTAGAATTCAGATTATTTTCCATCTATCTTGAGAAAACTGCAAACACATTTTCAACTTTTTAGATTAAAGCTTTCATGCTTGTTTCCAAAACATGATCAGCTTCCTTAAGATCTGCATGACATATTCAGTTTAAAGGTTGCCTGGTGTGCTAAGATTATTTGCCAGAAAAACTAAAAGCATCTACAGAAATGAAACAGATCTACTAGAAGTTTTTTGCTGATTTAAAAAAAAAAAAAGTCCCCTACATTTTAGTGTCTTGATAACATCCCTTCTTATAAGACTTTTTAAAAACTTCATATTTAATCTAAAATAATATGCTCATTCTGCAAGAGAGTTCAAATTCTCATTTCAACATCTTCAGCAGGCTTTACCAACTAGTTCTTTTTATTGAATCATTATAATAGATTTTTTTGCTTAATGCAATCAGCAGACACTTTTTTATTTATGGCATTTCTTTTATCCAATATATCCAATATATGGCCAGCAATATGCACTTGCAGGCCAGAAAGCCAGCTGTGTCCCAAAGAAGCATTGCCAGCAGGTCAAGCAAGGTGATTCTGCCCCTTTGCTCTGGTCAGACCCCACCTGGAGTACCGTGTTCAGCTCTGGAGCCCCCCAACAGAAGAAGGACATGGAGCTACTGAAGCAAGTCCAGAGGAGGGCCACCGAGATAATCAGAGGGCTGGAGCACCTCTCCTACAAAAACAGGCTGAGAGAGCTGCGATTGTTCAGCCTGGAGAGGAGAAGGCTCTGGGGAGACCTCATAGCAACTGTCACATACCTAAGAGGTCCTACAGGAAAGCTGGGGAGGGACTGTTCACAAAGCCATGTAGCAAGAGGACAAAGGGTAACAGAATAAAACTTGAAGAGGGGAGATTTAGATTAGACATTAGTAGGAAATTCTTCACTAGGAGGGTGGTAAAACACCAACACAGGTTTCCAAAAGAAGCTGTGGAAACCCCATCCCTGAAGTATTCAAGGGCAGGCTGGATAGGAAGGACTCTGAACAACATGATCTAGTGGAAAGTGACCATGCCCATGCAGGGGGCTTTGATCTAGATCATCTTTAAGGTCCCTTCCAACCCAAACCAGTCTATGATTTTATGATCAATTGTTGCTTTAAAAAAAAATAAATTAATTAAAAAAACAAGACACATACGCACATCCCAAACCAAAAAAGTTCACAGAATAATTTCACTGCATGTGGTGGTGGAGAACCATGACTATTAGAAAAATGGATCAAGCCTCAAATCTGCTTTACAACATATTTTTGCATTGTAAAAGGATGTGGCTGTTACAAGCTTACAGGAGTACTCATGAACTACACTTAATGTTGGTAGCCATGTACTATCACCAGGTTCCACGGTAGAGACCACAGACACTGAAAAACAGACCATGAGCAACTGAAAAGTAGTGCAAATTACTAAGAATTTACTTGTCCAAAGGCCTACTTCACAGATACAGAAAAAAAACATTTTTTCCTTTTTTCACCATCCCTACACAGGGGTTACACAGCAATGAAGTACAGATTCCAGTGCAAAACCAACTGTAAGTCAAAAGCAAGTATTTCCCTCTCACTGAAAATGTTAGCCTCTCACCATTACTGACATGGCACATCCAAGAATTCTACCAGGCCACTAAAAGCTGTAAGATAAAAAAAATCATCAATTTTGGATCCTCCAGCTTTTGAGAATGGACACAGCAATGAAATACCTCCCTGTGACAGAAATAATAAAAAAAAAAATTAAGGTACTTGATTAAATCTGTGCAAACACCTATATAAACAGAGAGACAGAATGTGAACACATGAAGTATCTCCAGTTTTATTATTCTATTCATAAATGCCAATGCACGGCTGCCTTTTTGTCAGCTTTTTAGTTTTGTAGGGTTTTTTTCAGAACTACAGCAGATTCCATTAACTCTATTAGAATCCATCTTAAAGCACCAAGTGATTTTCCTCAGTTGTCTACCCAGCTGAGACAGAGAAATATCCACAGGTAACAAGATGGATGGTATAAAAGCTGGGCAGCAAGAATGTGGTCCATTAAGGGAAGCACTGAAGAATTCACTAGGGTGCTCTGTGAGGCATAACAGCTTTGCAAGTATTCTCAGATGTGCCAATAATGTCATAACAAATACCCAAATAAACCAATTAAACAGTTTTCCCTCACATGAACACTGGTTTCACTGTCATTCAAGCTCTGGTCATTTGCAATTTCAAAAATATACTTGATCCTATGTACAAATCACACAAGTAAGCTTGGTACCCAAACACTCTTCTGGGGGTGCCTCAACATCTTCCAACAAACTTCAAACAGGATTCTAGCAAGAACACTGTAAACCAAAGCATGGTTTGTTTGTTTTAATAATACAACATAGTTATTTACCTTAGTGGTGTGACAGGCAGCCATTCTGCTAGGAAGTTTCCGTATCATTACACATAATTTACTCTTCCAGCAATTTTTTAAGTATTTGTTTAAGAAGACACTATATAACTGATGCGGCCCACATTTAAACTCATACCATCCAAGCAGTCTACCAAATCATTTCCCCCACTAGCAGCATGGAGTGCATTGTGACACCTCATACATATTTAATAATAGCCTGATAGGCTGTCATTAACATCAAACAGCAATCTAAGTTTGCTACATTAAACACAATCCCTGTGTTAAGAGCACAATCACAAAGTGCCTCCAAGATCGAGCCTGTAAGAAATACCCACCAACTTGGAAAAGGTGTAATGAGGCCAACTGCACTG